AGGAACTTCCCCAGAGTCCAAGACCTTTGGTAGATGATCAAGAAGGATCCTGCCATAACATCCACTAGCTTCTTCAATACTCTAGATGAATCCCAAATTGTCTCCACAACCAGTAACCCTACAAACTTGACCTCCAGCCTCATAAGCCAGCTGTGTTTCACCTTTATGTATGTGGTATTCTCAGGCTTTACTGGCTGAACCTTTAGGAGGTTTCCCTACTTTGTCACTTTAAGCATCTTACTTACAAGCATTTTCTTGCTGCTCCTTCTGTGTAGTCACTGGAAAGAGACAGACTTCTTTTGTTGGCCAGTCAGAGGACTTCTAAAGGTACCAGAATCTCTATGCAACTGTGTAGAAGCTTAGGAAGAGTAGGGTTTTATCTTAGGATGCATTTCCATTGTCACTTCAATTGAGCAGAAGCTAAGAAAGCTGTTGAAATGGAACAGTCAAGCTTCCTTTTGCTGTAGATCATAGACTGAATTAGGTTGAAGGGAAACTTTAACAGCTTAAAGCAGAGTTAATGTCATAGATCATATTGCTTGGGGCCTTAGCCAAGTGCGTTGCAAAATCTTGCAAGAGTGGCAGGGGGCTGACAAAGGACTAGTTCTCCTTAGCCTCTTTTCTTACATTATATTCTTCAGCCTGCCAACTATCTTCCTGGTTTTTGATGTGTTGAATACTACTTTGAACACAGTACCCCTGATGTAGCCTTATAAGAGTTAAGTAGAGAGGAACAACCACTTTCCCTGACCTGCTACTACTCTGTAGCTAGACAGTCCAGCATGCATTTAACCTTCTTCATTGCTGCAAAGGCACACTACTGACTCATCTTCAAGTTGTCATCCAGGAACTCCAGACCCTTTTCTCCAGAGCTGCTGCCTAGGCAGTCTGCAGCCTGGACTATTGTGTGATGCTCTCTGATTTTCTTGAGGCTTCTGTCAGCTCATTTCTCCAGCTTGTCATGATCCCTCTAAATGGCCGTCCTGTTATCCACTGTACCTGTGTAATCTCTAGCTGAATCCCACCAACCACCACAATCAGTTTTACTTTCTGCCCTTGGTGTTACTTTTTCTCCTTTGTGAGGAGAAGTTGTTCCAGCCCATCAGGCATCTGTTTAAACATTCATCTCTGTATAAAAAAGGGCAGCTACAGAGAGAATGGAGGCTCTTTCTTCACAAGGAGCCACATGGACAAGGGGTAATGGGTACAAGTTTCACTGAGGGAGATTTCACCTTGATATAAGAAAGACATTTTTTACAGAAAGAACAAAAAATCATGGGAGCAACCTCTCCAGAGACGTGGCAAAGTCCCTATTGCTGGAGATTTTCAAGACACAATTGAACAGGGTGCTAGGTAATTTCATCTAGGCTCTCTTTCCCACAAAAGTTTGGACCAAATTATCTTTGGAGGCCCTTTCCAACCTAGGCTGTTCTGTGGTTCTATGTATGAAAGGCTTTAGGAAAAGGCAACCAAATAAGGTGTAGTGGCTGTAGTAGAGTATGACTTTTCAGTGTCTTTGTTGTATTAAAGAAAATACGAAGTTTTACCCTTGGATACCTCCAATTTGTTAGTATGAATTTCCTTCTTTGATGAAGAGTTCTTCTAGCCATTCACAAATAATAGGATAAATAAAGAGTAAAGACCTTTTTTATCTGAGTCTAGCTGAGTTTGGTTCTGCACAGGCTGAGGGAATCTAAGGCAGCAAAAAATGTCTTAATCCCAAGTATAAGCTGATCTCACTCTGAATATTAAGGGCAAGCATTTTAAAAATATGCAGTTATCATTTAAAGAGCAGATTTAAACAGTATCTCCTAAGCAGCAAAATAAAAATACCCTTTCTTCTCTCAGAATGTTTTCCTTCTGCTGGCAAATCCACAACATTATGAAAGTCTGCGATACCACCAGTGCACATTGATACTTCTAGTCCAAGCTAAGAGCTGATGTTGCATCACTATACGTGAGACCAAGATGGTAATTTATCTTTGCAAAACAGTCTTTGCTAGTAAGAAAGAGAGGGGGAAAACAACCAAAAAGCCTTCTGTGCATTCAATTTTGTAAGGCTTATGTTTCTCATCAAATACAGCTGCTTTGTGATGATACTACAGAAAAGTTGGATATACCAGTTTGTTCTAATATCCTATTTCCTTTTGCCTTGCTAGATTTTTATATGTTAAAGGCAAGCATGACCCTAAATCCTTGGTCAACTGCATGTGTCCTTGTTTCTGATTTTGGCTGTCGCATGTATGATCATAAGTTTCTTTACAAGCAGCAAGAGAAGAACTATCAAAGGTCAATTTTTAAAATTGTTATTACTAGCTGCCTGGTAGTGTGGCTCTTTTGGAGTACTTAAAAGATGGTACAACTCTGAGGCCTTCAGATTTGTGGGTGGTATTTGTGTTGTCTTTTGAATACAGTTACCAAAACATGTTTGGTGACAATTGGCTTTTACAGATGAACTCTTGAGTGTCAGTAAAATGAACACTGAAAAAGCCTGAGTTGATGATGCTTGTGTCCTCAGTAAGATACACTGTTCTGTCACCAGCAGCATCCTAATACTACTATCAGACAGATAATCAAAGTCTTTCATAAAGAGTTTGACTATTCTTGCAGCAAGGCAATGGGAGGTTTGTGTACAGCTGAGTTCTGGAAATCTTTTTTTCACTAGCATAGATGTAGTTGTCATTATTGGCCTTCTATAAAGGAGACTAAAGTTGTAGAAGAGAGACTGGCTAGTGCTTGTTTTCATCTAATGTCTAAGAGAATGGCTTGGGAATAAGGACTTATACAATGTCTGAGGAGGACTTGGGTATACTGAGAGGAAAGGATATGTAATACTGAAAACAATTGGGAGATCAGAAAAATATTAGTGTCAGACTGAAAAGCTTCCAGAGGAAGACAATGGACTTCATGAAGCTCAGGATGTTCTGCAGCTTGTTTGCCTGATGTGGTTTATTTGTAGTTTTGGTGGATTATTTTTTGTTAGACAGTTC